AGAATTTTTATTAATTTAATAGCACAGACTTAGAAGGCATAAAAAGCCATTTAATTTTTATTATAAACATTTTTTTATATCTACTATAGTTTTAAAGATATACAGGGAAATAGGGTAACACTTATCTTCATTCAAGGGCTGTTTTCACCCCGAAGAACCGAAAGTGGGCCAAAAAAATTGCTCGATACTTCTCTTAAGGTCCCCTACAAACCCACAAAGTTTCAAAAAAATCGAACATTTCGGGTTACCGAAGTTCCTTGTAAGTTACGTCCACAAATTCGAAAACTGCGAAGAGAAATGCTTGATGCAGAAGTATTGATTCTGTACGATAATATCTGCTCACATTTGGTAGCGTCAATGATCACTTTATTGGAAAAACATCGATAAACGCTTCCCTGATGTGAGTGCCCCCGACTACGATCTGTTCTCAAAACTCAAGGAACCCATGCAGAGTAATCGTTATTCTGATTTGGAGGCCATGAGCCGGCGTATTAGAGAGCTCAACTTTAAGAACGAATTAACTGGTATCCAAGACATTTTCAAACGCTGGCAAGCAATTATAGACCATCAAGGAGATTATATTGAAAGGCTGTAAAAACATTTTGAAATTAAATAAATTTTTTCTCATTTATACGCATTTGTGCATTACTTTTCGGATGACGCGTGTAGATTGTCTATGTGTGTTCTACCTACATTATCGATAAAGTATAATGTGTTAATTTTTCCTTAACATATATTATACTATAGATGAATTATAAACATGCGTTATGAATTCACGTTACATAATGAACATTATGGCGGATGAAGAAAACAATCCTTACTTCTTGGTGGTGATCTTTTTGCCGTTGATGAACCGGGTCGAGGTGCTTGTTTTTTTGACATTGCCACCGCCGCTGTTTCCGTCGAAGCCACCGCCGTTGTTTCCACCGAAGCTCGCGGACGTGTTGAACGAGGTGAACCCTGTCGTACATTCGAACAAGTCGCTGAACGGTCGGAAACCGAAAGCAACACCGAGCGTGCCGAACACGGATCTGCTTAGATTGTTACCTGGTTGGCCATGCCTGTTGCCTCGGCATGCAGTGGGTTCTTTTCGAGGGAGAATTAGCACAAGATTAATCACATCATATTCTTTGGAGGAGCCTTTCGAACAACTATTATTAGATTAATCACTTAAACAACAATGGACAAGGTTTCTCATGTCTCTGGATATAAATTGATTGGAGTAATAATTTCACTGATCACTGGACCACACCGATAGGTTTACTTACTAGGGAACATTTCCTCGAACGGTAAACCAGAAAAGAATTCCCTAAATACTGTCTCAGGATCTCTGAAGACAAAAGCAAAGGCTAAGTCAAGTTCATCTTCGTATCCCGTCTTTTCACCTGGCATCTGAAGTCCCTCCTTTCCAAACTGATCATAGACCCTCTTTTTCTTCTCTAGAAAGCAAACAAGACGAGGAATGGTTACTGCTGATCATAGAACAGACAATGAATGCAGATCATTTAGCTTTATTTGCTCCAAATTCCAAGAAGCAAGTACTGCAAGGCTTGTCAGGTTAGTAGAATACGCAGGATGATTCTAACGTCAATCGAAGGTCGTCCACCGCAACAGCAAATCAATGAAGAGAGAAAAACCTGAATCCGGACCATTCTTAAAGGACCAACTTCCAATTAATATCAATAAATCAGAGATTCTTCGTTAGTTGGTTAGTGAAATAGTCATCAGAAGGTCTACAGTTGGTTGTTCTCCCATACTTGTCAGTCGAGCAATGGCAAGTGGTTAGAAATGCGGTAAGATACAGGCAATATTATCTGCGTTTGTACGGTGGCTCGTATAAAGAGAAAAAAGTATCTTTCGAGCTTTCCAGGAAGACTCGCAGAGAAACTGATCAGAGAACTCTGTCAGAAACTCCTGAATCCTATGAATTGAATTCTGAATGCGAATGAGGGATTAGATATATGTTGTTCGATGAGATTCTTTCACCGGCAAATGTTTGTTTTGCTACGTCTCGATAAAAGGTCATAAAACAAAATCGATTAAAAGGTAAGAGAAAACGAAAAAACAGAAAAGAAAGATGTGAAAACGTTTGGCCACTCTCAAAGTCTTTTTTCTCTTAAGTGGTACCGAAATATCGCTGGAAAGGAGAGTCAAAGAAACTCCGGTAGGTGAATCCACGGCCAGGCCTCGAGGACGCTCTCTGATACAATCGTTGGTCGTAGGTTCGTCTCTTCGCATCTGGACGTCGAGCACGGTCACGAGAGATCGTCCGGAAACAAACATTTCTGATTGAATTTCTCTTTCACATGCCCCATTTTCGTCTACACGACACCGTTCGCAGATTATGGCAGCGATGCTTCGGCTATAGTGTTGCTCTGTTCACAAGCCAGACTCGACTTTTCAGTTTCAACAATGTTTAAAGATAACAACAATATAATAAGAACACAAAAATATAATAGAAACTCACGAAATAAAGTTTTGAAGCTGCGAGATCTATTTTTCTATCTAAAATTATATTGTAAAATTAGCATAGTTGCTTTACAGGTATGAAGAATACAACTTCTAAGTTGTTATAATAACTGACTCTCGCAGCTCCGTTTATTTGGTAGTATCGAGTACTGGTTATGAAACAGTCATTCATAAAGGACGATCGATTCGTTCTAGATCGAACAGTTGGCTCCCAGAATAAGTCGTACTAGTTGGAGACCGCTCGAAAGAGAAGGCTCATGCGAAATTCGGCTTTGCTGACAAGCAGGAGCTGCTGTCATTCGTCTCCCGTTGGCATCGCGACGCTCTGTATTCGTTACTGAAGCTCTAGCTAGCGCCGTTTCGTCGATTAATTGAAGCCGCAGAGTGACAAGAGATTATAATTAGACTCGTCGTTCAGAAAAACGACTCCGAAAATCCTTGTTGGTTGGACCTTTCATCATTTTAAACACTGAGTCCTCAGAATCAATGATATGACAGCTTGAAGAGAGGTTGAAGCTTACCATCACTTAGCACTTCGTATGCTTCAGATATCTCTTTGAATCTCTTGTTCGCTTCCTCCAGGTTGTCCATATTCTTGTCTGGATGCCATCTCAGTGCCAATTTTCTATATCTGTGAAATAATTCCATGTTTAATTGCAGGTACAGAGGAAGGGTCTTGAGAGAACTCGCAGAATTTTGGATCAGAGCCAGCTGCCTCAGTGGAGTGGAAATAAAAAGTCATTCATTCAATCCTCCTCCACCCAATACCAACTGAATGTTTGCAAAATAAAACAGCACCAACGATAAACAAGTAATTTATCTTATTTTCAATGTACAATACCCCACATATAACAACAGATTAATAATTATATTCACTCACACAAATTAGATGACTGGAATAAAAGACTGAGTGGAGATTGAACACTGTAACACTTTTTTTTTATTTAAACGTTGTTTCACAACTTTCTCCATTGAAACTACTGCATCTTCTTGGTCCAAGTGGAGCAATTACTTACGCTTTTTTGATGTCCCGGCCGGTGGCGGTCCGTTGCACTCCTAGTACCTTGTAGTAGTCGACCATCGTTCACAGTGCTCGCGCTCGGGTGTCAGAACTTAGGCAACCACCTGTAGAACAATGCAAGGAACTATTATAGTAATTAACAGGCCAATTGGCAAGCACGGGAACACGGGAAAAATGCAGCTATCTCAGTTTCGTTCTTGCAGTCTAGTTTCTCTCAACATCACAAGCGAAAACTCATAGTACAACAGGCTGTAAACGTCTGACAGAGGTTACTAGGTCTTTCAAAGACTTAATAACCTGGCCACTAATTCTAGAAGATTTCTTAACGTTGATTTTCTCGATGAAAGACCTACTACCACTTTTAGAATCTCTTTCAAGTATTAAAAACTTCTATTGGAGTACGATTCGTGAAACTGGATGAGAAAACAGCGTGTAAAAGTGTCCTCAAGCAAGCGTAGTTAGCTGTCAGGCACTAATTGAATTGTAATAGCCGTTTCACGGGCAGAAACAGTCCTTGTCAGGCCGACACTGAAGCTGATTTTCAGTGGAACTCAAAGAGACTTCCGACCACCTGTTGCCCCGTAGAGGCGTCTGAAAAGCGTTCAATTGACGCGATATCCTTTTGGAGAGCTCCAAAGAGCGCTCAAGAGTTAATTCTTTGATCTTCCGTCTCGTTTTCTGGCCAATCGGGTTTCACGAGAATCGAAGTGAACGGGAAAAGGAAACGCGAATGTTCTTGAAAATTAGTTTGAGAGGATTGCACGGGGTCTAAGGAATGGTTGGAATGCATTCCATTCAGAGCGGCGACAGCTTGAAAACGCCGGCGAAAAATACACGGCAGCCTTCGAAAATAGTCCACACGTACTATGTAGTATTCCAGTGAACGCGTAAACATATTTCCACCGGGTTAATTTTGCCTGGTGTCTTCTAAATACTCGGCCAGCATTATATAAATGGCTTAGGGACTGCGTGACACGAAAGAAAATCCTCTATTCGAGCTATCTTAAACCACTCCTGTCTTCCGTATTTTTTCTTTCTTTCCTTTTTTTTTCTTCCAAATAATCCCTTCAGATTGATCTTCAACTTACACACAGTCACTCTTGGACATTTTCATCTTTCACGCCACTATTGAACCACGCTGAGACTTGTGCCACGTGCACCGAGCATCCTCAACAATAAATAGTCGGGAAAGCTTAAATAGAAATCGAGGCACGAGAATATTTCGCACACAGGAAGTTCAGAGAGAGAGAGAGAGAGAGATAGGAGCGCGCGAGAATGTGCTCGGTGGAAAACTGAGGGCTCAAAGTCAAAGACTGAACGGCTAACGAAAACGCTAAAGTTAGCCGAGACGTGTATCGAAAATAGTTGGAAATACGGAGGTGGAGGTCATTACGTTATCCCACTTCACGGCTCATCCCCTTCCCCCCTCCCCACCTTCGTGGCAATGGGCAAGAAAAAGCAGTCTGCTTGCATTCTGCTCGTTCCATCGCTTCAATCGTCAATAGGAGGCTATAGAACGCACTGAATCACGCACACCAAAACAATCTGTTGATCACAACGATCCAAAAAGGTGTTCGGAGAAGCGTGTATAAAGATGTGCCATTTTAGAAGCCAGTTCTTGAGAGATTCTCAAATAAAGGTGTACCGGTTTCGGAGATGAACTTTTTGAAAGGGAGCAAGTTTCAAAGTGGATTGTTTAAAAATTCATAAAAATCAGTTTAAAGAAGTGAAGAGATCCTCAAGAAGCATCATCTTCTTCTTCTATAAATTTCTGGTATTTTCAAGACAATTCATTTTAACGTGTGTCATAAGAGAGTAACTGGCGTTTCTAGTTGGAGTGTTCAAGTGAAATCGTTGGAGTGTGTTAGTAGGTGAGCAGGAATTCATTCAGCACGCCAGGTGGACCGCGTTTCATGTCCATACGCGATCGTGGACGCCACCTCCGCGATCAGGTCGAGGACGTTGGACCGAGGCCTTCCTGTACAGGTTGCTTCCTATCTTTCCATCCGTATAAATCTTCTATCATCTCGCCTAAAACTTGAACAAACTGTTTTTTAGACTGTTTTCAAGCGATCTAACTGGCATTCTGTGTAATTTTTTAATAAAATCAAATGAACATTCGGTTTTTAATGTTGAATTTGTGATGTCAGATAGTCCGCGAATTAGGAAGCGTCCTGTAGTTTATAATAAATCTGCTGGTTCACGGGAGAATCGCGAAATGCATGAGTCACACCGGTTTCGGAGGTGATTTTGGCCTGCCTACACGTCGAACAAGCGTCGCAGGTAAAACAACGTGAACAGTCATCGCAACGTGTGTCGTCGTGGGCGTCTTTCCAAGCGTTTGTAGCGAGGAACACCCTTCCACTTCAGCTATTGTCCTTACATGATAATTATATCCTGCATCAGAGCCATTAAGATACTCTGAAAAGTCAATCGGATCTGTCTGATAATATTCTAGAGTATCTCCACAGTTTCTGAGTCGTTAGAAAATATTATAAAAAATTCGTTCAGCTAATTTAACGATACTTTCAAAGATTCTCCCACCTCCAGAAATCTTGTTGCTCAATCAGAGTTGATGGAATATTCTGAAAAATCAACGTGACTCATCTCGCCATATGGAGTATTTTATCAATTCAATTGAAATTCATTAAAAAAGATGAATTCACCAATTCTGATAGTATTTCGAAGGATTTTCCAGCGCCTGACATCTTATTATTCAATCAGTGTCAGTGGAATAGTTTGAAAAATTTATTCAGCCCTTCTTGTGACACTTTGAGGTCATTCTACAGCGTCCAGAAACCTTGTCATTCCATCAGAATTTTTTCTATGACCCGAGTAATCAATTTAGCTCATCCAACGATACCCTCCACAAGATTTCTCGGGTTGCAATCACTGGAAAATCGTCCCGGGAGAGTCGAGAGGCCTCTTCCAAGAAAGACAGCGACGTTAATGGAATTTTCCGGTTTCATTGGACGTCCACTTTGAAGCTATACCCCTAGTGACCGTGCAGTACGGAAAAGTAGTCCAGTCAAGAGGGCGGCTCTGGCGATTCAGCTGTGCGAGGAACGCGGCTGAAAACGGGTCTTCGATATTTAAAATTCACCGGCGAGAGAACTGGACTTGACTGGCTTACGTAACGTGCAATTCCGAATGTTTCGGATGCCTATTGTGTCCGTAACGCTACTGGGGAAGGCTACCGGCCTTATCAAGGATAGAACCTAGAACCCTTCAACAGCTTATCCAAAAACTTGTTCTCTGAGAAGAAGCCTTGAGCTCATCCAAAAAAATATGCTGAAGAACATTCTGCTGCTCCACCGACTTTCAAATCTTGCATTTTCACTTTAACATGATTCCAATGATGATCTGGAATACTTTTTAATATTATTCATTGCTTTTTGGTAATTTAGGAGATATCTCTTGATGAACCTTCGATAAAACTGATTGTCTGGTAACGGTCGATGGTTAATGATCGCCACGCGACAGTTTTGGTCTTGACATTCGGCCAAACATAATCGCCGGAGTCGAGAAACGATCCGGGCACTACTCCAAGAATGGAAAGATCGGATACAAGACGTACTCGTTGCTCTGACGCTCGTTGTAAATCACTCTCTCGTTTGGAGCAACGATTTGCACTCCTTTTCTACAATTTTGTGAAATAACTTGAAAATTCAATAATTACAAAGTGAAATAAAATAACATGGCATTTGTTGAATTTTCAAATATTCATACTGTGTAAATCTATTTTAAAGTTCAAACTAAGACTAGAATGGAACTTTTGACTCTTGAAATATTTGTGTTGGCAAAATTCCTCAAGAAGACCCCAGAGAGAAGTGAATGAATAAAGAGATGCCACAGTTGGAGCCTAGTTTTTTTTTTTTAATATTTACACCGTGGAAATTCTTCAAGGGGACACTAAGAAACAAACATTTGTGAAACGATAATGATCGATTCGTTCATATTTACCAAAGAGCTCAGCTGACTAATGTAAGTTATGCTAACACCACGTGGCCCATTTCTACGTGAACGAAGGAGTATCTCAGGCAATATATTTGCCTGAAATGCTACGTGCCCCCGCAGAAAATGCGCGTGACGATTATGCGCGAGTGCACACGTATCGCGAGCGTGACACTTCCGTTTGTTAGATACCGCTCGTTTAACAGAGCCACACCAGGTAAACGACGCACGTATATCCATTAGAAAAATATCTCTCTCGATAAGTCGTTAAACATCAATTAAAAAATGGAAACTCAACACCAGAAGTTACATGAATGATTTCACCATTGAAAATTGACCACCGGGCAATCGATAATTCATCCTATTATCGGTAGAAATGAACTTCTACAGTCATTTTAAATTCAGTTGATGTTTCAAGGTCATTGAAGAACCATCCTCCCCACTACTTTTAGAAATATCTTCCTTAAAGGTATCTTAAACGAACGTTGATTCCTCAGTATGAAAAGAATCTTTGGAAGACATTTCATAAAATATGCATGGCAGTGTAACTGCTTTTAATCTGATGGAAAATCAACTAAAAATTATAACTGAATGAATATCCAACTCCTTCTCTCCCGTCGAAAAAAGATGAATGAAACACGACAACTAGATCTTAACGGAAATAAAAAAAATTGTTTTCCATGGAAAGTACAATGAAGCACGGGATATTGCGGCGCGAAGAAGAGAGGGAGAAGGGACGCGGTGGGCGTCCTTTTGCGCTCTCCCGAGGAGCTGTGACGTCAGTTTTACATATTCGGGCAGCGCGAGCAACGTATAGAGGAAAAAGGATCTCTAGTGTGTTGGTTCTCTGGCTGAAAGACGATCTGAGCCATCCTTTGTCTCCCATTGGCGTCGAGTGAGCAATCCTGCGGCTGAAAACGTTCGACGAGCGATATATCACGTCTACTTAGTTAGAATTTTGAAAATAATCAGTGAAATTTCACCTGATTTCCCTCAGACTGCCATTCCACATGCACTATAATGTCTATTTCTGGCCCATCGATTTATCTTCGGATACTATATAAATATACCGAGACAGTACTGGCAGCTTCGATAGCAGTGCACCACACGTTACGTGATATTGCGTAACCGGGTCCATTAAAAGTGGCATTTTGTGTCTTCTTATCTGTAGGATCGTTCGAGACTTTCATCTGGTAGGGTACGCAACACATGTTGCGCTAGGTCGCGGCTAGAAAATGTCGGTTAAAAGGCCAATGAAAGGGTCTAGGACAACGCAGCGCGCGCCGGTGATTGTCTTTGCAGTTGATGAGGAACTTCTTGATAATTGACACAGTATGCTATAATTGCTCCATGTGGTGGTTAGTTCCTGTTCCTCTTCACTATGTGAAGCTTAATTTAATACAAAAATGACTGGTTGCATTGTTTGGGCAATTTAAAATACAGTAGAAGCAATTCTTCTCGTTAATAATGTCAGTTGCAATTAATTATTCATGTAGATACATATACATATATATATATAAATATATACATATGATTGAATCAGTTCACTTTCTTCTTAGAAGGTGTATTTCCTGATTCTCTGTGGATTTTCTTGATCATTTCTTGAATTTCTTAGTCATTTCATGTTAAACATTGTGAGAACAACTATAGAAAATATATGTTGGTCCATTCTGATGAGAAGTTTTGATAGATGTTTTAAATTTTGTACATATGTATAAGCAATAGAATGGAATGTTTGATAGAATAGAATTATAGATAGTACAAAATAGAAGTTGAGTTGCTTGTCCTGAGCTTAAAATAGTATCTTCGCATTTGAATTTAATAATAACACATTTCAATGAAACTAGAAATATCTCATCATACGTTAAAATGCTAAGAAAAAACTACTGACAATTGGAAGACAATGAAGATCAATGACCCCCATATTATAACCTATTCTCATTTCATTGAACAATATTGTGCAACCTAACAAAATGACATTAGCAATTTCATAGACGTACTGTAATTGGGTTAGTAACAAACTGACAATTAGCTAAATGTATCAGAACAACTTCAAAATTTGACTGATACAATAAATTAGTAAGAAATTAAACTTACAGTAATGTTTCACAAAAAATTCATGCTTTAACTCGTGGAATATTTCATTCCAAGAAAAAGTCGTCGTCAAGGGACGAAAATCAAAAAAGAGTCGTAATGTCCGTTGCTAAGGATTCCAGTTACTATTTTCAAGTTGCGATAGACGCTAGTTTCCGCGAATTTCCAACGATGATTCAACGCTTATCTGTTATCAAGTAACGTTGGGTTACTATCGACTGTAAATGACACGAGTAGCTTTTCTCGACCAAGATGCCAAGGGCCCACAACATTCACTATACGATGGTATCGAAAAATGCGTTGTCACAGTACGTGGAAAAATTCTAATCGCAATAGAATCGAATCACGCGATAAGATTGACAAAATAATACAAAGCAGCGTGTAGTTCTCGAAAATTTTAACGTTGGAAAAGATCCTCTCGACGACGTAGTTTCAAGATGGTGGAAGTATTAATTTTCAGGGTAAAAAACACGGTGCAAATAACTTACCAGAAGCGGCTGCAGCTTCTTCCTCACCTTACCCGCTCAACAATGAATTTTCCGTGTAGAAGCGAATTATTGTTTTCCTTTGGGCTGAGGTGCAGACACACAGTGGATGAGAAGCGACAATCTCCCGAAAACGTAAAGAAGTGCAACTGCCGCGTGAAGTTGGCGCAAGCAAAGGTCGATATCCAATATGGCCGGTCCTTTCGATTTTTCTAGAGCTCGTTATGTGCCCGCCTTTTCGTCGCACGTCGTTTATCGATCTGATAATTAAATTTTAACACTAACGATCAGAATTTACTCGAAGCAAAAAGATTTTTCTTCATTATCCAGTTTTTGGAATTTATTATATTTGTGCATTAGCTGCGTATGCGTACCAACATGTGATGCAATTTATCGAAATTTTTAATAAAGAACGAGAATCGATTATGATCCTTTACGAAATAGTCATTAAAATCGGACTTATGGTATTTAAAAGCGATAAACGTATCGAAAAGAATTTAAGGCGTTTCTTGCAACGTAATACACAAATGCGTTTTGAATTCGAATACTCACCCTGGCACACAGCGATCTAAATCTCAGATAAAACTAATTCTGAACGTTGGAAAAGCTTTTATTTTAATCCCTTAACAGTTATCAAAGTGTCTCATTGAAATTTAAATAGCAACCACAGATAACGACAAGGGTATGCAAGTGAAACATTTAAAACACTAGATAAGTATTTCATTTAATACTAGGTCTACTAACAGTTAACCTATATTTGTTTCTACTAAAATTATGAAATCAATTATGAATCGATTTATATTTTTCAAGGAAAATTGTGGGCAATTTTAGAAACTGTATTGCTGTAAATTCTTTAGTAACTTTTTGTCAAATATATAGTCATTTGGACTGCTTTAGTAGTTCGATCGATAATGAAACACGGAAGTCGAAAATTGGCGGGAATTTAATCGACAATGGCGTCGCCAGTGGTGGGCTATCAGTGTTATGCTTACCGGCGAGATGGCGCTAGCTGATTGGTTACCGCGCAGTAGCATGGCAGCTTCCGCTTTGCCAAGTGTTTTCAAAGAGCAGGTGAGCGTTTTGTAGAGCGCGTCGCGACTACTTGGCTACATTGACGGTGAAGAAGTTCGGTGTCGGGGTTCCGGTGTTTGTGGTTCGGTGTGTGATTGTGTGTATGTGAGAGTGTGTCGTCGAACGCCGGTTGTTCGAAATACTTTCGATATCCAGAGAATAAAGAAACTGCCCTCTTTTGCCCTAAGGGAGACTAATATTTGTCTGATTTGCTGCGAACTCGTGCAGGGACGATCGAGGTAACGCTTCCTGCTGGGAATGTTGATGGACTCGCTTCTCGTTCGAGCATCCTGCCAAGAGGTGGGTAAGTTTTGCCGATCTTTTCACCGCGTACTCCGTCTCGTGACGCTCGAGGTGGAAATCGAGGCCCTTTTTGCGCGTTCACCTGCTTTTTTGATCATTCGAACGATTGAGCAGTGGTTAACTCGCTTTTTCGCCGAGCCCTGCCGCAGAGACGGAAGCGGTACTGGCCGAGTGACATCTGCATCGGGTTGGACGTGTCCACGAATGGCGGTGCGGCTATCGATCTTGAAGTCTCCGGCCGCGAGGCCGTCTCGTTTTCGAGGTCACCGGGACTTGAGCCGCAACCCTCACTCTCGATCTCGATATCTTTGCCCCTTCCCCTGCGCTTTTACGCGAACCCTTTTCTTCGGTACCCGCAGAACGTAACCCCGCCCACGTGATGACACCGGATAACGATGATTGTTGCCATCCTGTCTTGGCCTGTCACGGGAGAAGGGATCCGGTAGCGGTATAACCAATGGAATTTCGAATCTATACCTGATAGAAAAAGAGACGAGTATTCAATGAAATTCGAAATGTTAATATTAAGCATGTTAAGTAACATTCGAATAGGAATTAGGAGACGCCACTTTCTCGCGGTTTTACTGCTGTTTTATCGCACGGAGCGATATCTCGAGTAAAAGTTTCGAGAAAACTTTTGCTAGTTTCGAAGTAGTCACGTAAGAGTGGTCTGGAGTGTCCTTACGCTGCACTGCGGTAGATAATCGCATATCCTTGAGACATTATGGAAGGGAGAGGGAAGGGGGTAGCCAGGGGATATAAAAAATGCCGAAAAAAGGGTTAATCGGAATTTTGGCGCATAAGTTACATAAGTTGTCGCGAAAATCGCTGAAAGTGTGTCCTATTTTTAGAGACACAGGAACGAGCGTGGGGAATACAGACGTTCGATCCAAATCAAACGGTACACAGCTACTACTTACGATCGCCTTGACCGTGATGAGCGCGCTAATCCTTCCGTGTCGTAATTTCAAATCCCATTTTCGAACGCTGGTGGAGATGTCTCGTGAAACGTGCATCTTTTGCTAATAAAAGAAATATACATGGAACTTGGACAGATTGTTAAAACTTTATTTCTTCTCTACTGATAAAAATATTCGGTCAGTTTTTGCTAATTCCGTTTTTTGATTCTTGTTTACGAACATCGTTATAACTATTTATTTCGATTTATCGACATATCGGTTTGTTCCGATTAATAGATATATGTATATCGATATTTCGATACATTAGCCCTTCGATCAATCGATACATTTTTAATGTATCGATTAATCAATGGTTACGACGCAAATAATATATATATATAAGTTTCTACGCCATTTTGTTTTTCCTGCAATAGGCCCCCCTCAAGGAATTTAATGCCTCTATTATTCAATGCATCCGTAAATTGAAACGAATTGCTTATCTTCACGACCACGAACGCGATATTCCGTTCGCTATAGTTACACCGAAAATTCATACTTTTTCACAAATGAACAAACTGAATAAAATTTTTGACGCGGTACAAGTTTATTTCATACCAGACAGACCGAGTCTCGTTGGAAACGACTTGCCGTAAATTGCCTTTATTTGTCATTTTTACCACCATGATTATTATCGATGATTCATGTGACCCGAAGTGCGATAAGAACCGGTGGAAACCAGTATCGATTCGACGGCTTAACGAATTTAATTTTCAGGTTTGGTTAGTGCTGTTTGCCGTAGGAATACAGAAAGTTGATTAATTGGCGTTTAGAAGGGAACATTTATGATAAATATTCCACGACAAATATTTTGGAAGTATCGAGCGTATCAGGCAACTCGACTGTGATAATAATAGTAATAACAATAATAATACTAATAATAATAACAATAATAATAAGAGGAAAACGGGTCGTCTGTTGCAATGCGGCACGTTCGTTCTCTTGAGTATATTTATCGCTGTAGCTAGCTTCTTTTTCGTCGTAGGTACGTTCTCGAGTTACGCCGAGCATCATTTATTATTTGAAAACGTGTTCGTTGTCTGCTTCGTTTATCGAGCCCCCAGCGAAGCTTTTTTATCGAGTGTCCCCGATTTTGCAACGCTCGCGTTTATCGCGGAATAACAAGCCAGCGACAATTTACTTACCAGAGCGTCATGTTGCAGCAGATTGATATTTTGTCATTACCAATCGCGCACGTCACGAGTCACTTTGTACAAGTTTTTTTTTTTTTTTTTTTTTGTCATTAGTATCGAAAAAGGGGAACGTGAAAGGGATCGAGGCTTACTTCCTGCGGGCTACGCACGAACTTTAAGCTTGAATCTCTAAAAAGTCGGTCAGTGAAGGCTAAAGGCGCATTATTTCGCAAGCGATTTAAACCATGACCTTCTAGCCACTCCATCAAAACTCGTGTTACAAAATATTTGTTTGGCCAGCCTAAAACAGCGTAAAATTAGATATCGTTCTCGAAAAACACGAAGACCATGTTTATCGATGCATCGATAGTTTCAGTAAACATCGATAGTCGGTGTTTGCGCGTGATTACGATTATTCGAATATTACGTCGACAGTTTTGGTAATCATTCGAATTATCAACATGAATCGTCAATTTTTAACACATAACCTATATATATATATATATGTATGTCGAATAATCGCGACTGAACCATTTGGTGGATGAATTATTGGTTCCATAAACCGTGTTGCTGCAACCATTTTCTGCGCAAGGCGAATTTTTTCGCCAGATAAGATAGAGAGTCCAGTTTCGACTGGACAAACGAATCGATTTCTTTTCTGGTAACGTAGTCAGCTATATCGATTTTCGTTTTAGCTTCAATGTGTAATCCGATCGGCAATTATTGAGCTACCAACCGATAATCGACAGTCGATACGATGCTCTCGATCGTATCAGGTAATTATATAACGAGGTTAAACATTCTGATAAGAATAATTGTAACGTAGTCGATAAAGAGATAAGACTCGTTTTTAAAAAGGTGACTACTTAATGGCAATTGTACCTTTCCTATTCGGGTGTGGTGCACTGTGTAGATAAGAATGTACACCCATTCCTACATTTATTTGCTTACAGATGTAATCTGATAGCGCTTCGTTACATTCTAGGATATAAACGTAGGCGTTTCATTGAAATCGCAGAATTTCCGTTTATGATATTATTTTTTTTTCTATTTCGCGAGACAACTATAAGCACGATGTCAATAGCCTTTAGAGGCTTACGAAAGCCCCGTGGATTTTACTAGAGCGGTCCGAGGACCGAAAATACAGCGACTCGAGATTTTCAGGCCGTGCTAATTCCGAGCTGCGCATAAATTTGCGCGAATAGAGTTGCGCAAAAACCGTAGGAC